AAAACCCCGGTAAAATACATTTATTGATACTATATTAAACTGACTAACCATCGAAGGGATACCTTCATAATCTTACTGATCTATTAAACCGATGGAGATTTAGTAAAATTTTTAATCAACAGCACTAAACATAATCCATGAAAAAACTAAGGATAACAAACAGACCAGGATGGTAGGTCCATTCATATAAAACATACTGGAGATAGAATAAAAAAATTGATTATTTGGAGATGGTGAGATTCGGTCTGGTTATAAATCCCAGGCCCTGAAGATGATCTCAATAAAGATCGAAACGTTGGCACGATAAAGAAAATGTTTTTCTAAAACCTAACACCAGGCCGCATCTCACGATCTCCAAATAATCACTTTTCATATAGTTTCATGAGGCTTGAGAAATAATAAGAAAACACTTTTTTTTTGCACAGAAATATGATGAAGAGAAAAGCCTAATCGTTCTAAAACTAGAAAAACACCAGGAGGGTTAAAGACCTCCGAATTGGCAGTACGACTTATCGTTCCTTTACACATAATAACAGACAGACAGTTTCAACATTCATTTGTACTCGTTTTATGGGATTTAAATGATGGTAGTTGACGGTAGGAGTACGGTGTGTGTCGTGTGGGACTGGTTTGCTGCACCCATCACGCGAACCGAGTCCAATTCCCACGACTCCAGCGCTCCTCAGGACCCTCCCCTCGCTCCTGCCGGCCGATTAGTCATATATCTCAAACGGTAAATCTCCTATTTATAAAGTGGATCCTTTTCTTATCCCATGGGAAAGTAATCAACAGGAATTTCCCCGTCAAATCAACTCGCCCTTGAACATCTTTCATCTCGTAAAAACTTCTTCCAGCTGTTAAGATTTTTACCAGTTCAGAATGAAACGATTGAAAAACGTTCGATATTTCTTAAAATATTTTTACTTATTGAACTTTCAGAACTTAGCGGATTTCACAATACAGTGGAACGATACGGTCGTGAAGGATGTATCGGTTTTATTAAAGGACGAGGCGAAAAATGATAAAGAAAGCGCAGCCTCTCCCCCAATAAGGTTTTTTTATTTATTTCTAAAGGTTCCTCTTCGAGAAGTACGAAAAGAAAATCTCCGTTCAACGAAGATCTTACAGACGTCTGGATGTAACCCAATGATCAAAAGGCGCGGGCGTCAGCCCGTTTCGATTCCGTGTAATTCGAGAGGTCGATGTGTGTGTTCCGCCAGATTCCAATGGAATTCAACCGGTGTCTGCAACAAAAACTAGACAAAAATAAAAGGAACGAGCGTGTCGGTGCCTTCCCACAATATCCGAGGCGGCCAGCTCTGCATACATTACCGGACAAAAGAATGTGTCAACAAACTCGATCCATCACTAGTACACCACGGCATGAAAACAAATTAAAGAACGCGAGGCACAAGGAACTCATTCCTTTTGTCTCGGGGCTCTCCTGACGCTTTGTAGAATGGATTTGAGTAGGGCAGTTACAATTCTCACAAGATATGTGGGAAACCAAACCGGATATCACAGAAAGTGCCTGGATGATTGTCTTTTCTTCCATATTGGTTACTTTAACAAGTTTTATTCCCATAATTTCTTTAAAGGCTTAAAGGTTTTAAAGACGGACAAAACTAGTCCTGACATGATTTTCCCTTATATTTCAATTTTAAAAAATAAGGATCGCATGGAAAAAGTACGACAAACTTTCTGCACACGAGAAAACATGTTAAAAACTCAGAAAATATGTCGTGTAATCAGGATTTGATTCTCGGCGACAATTGAAAAATGGCAAAAAGGAGGGAAAATTCGAAAGGTAGGTTGAGATGGGAAGTATGTGTCCGAATTGATCTAAGTCACGATAGCTCAAGTGGTAGAGCAGCGGTGTATTTAGCCGAAGGCCGTGGGTTCGAATCACCCTCGTGACACTGGCTTTTTTATTTCAACCAATAACTTACATAAAGATTAATTAATTTAAACATCAAAGCTATGTTACAAGTGCCTAGGGATCTTAATATTAAAAAATGATTAATATATTTTTTTATTTCTGAAATTCTCCCTGTTCTCGCCGTATTTTGCCAACTTGTTTACTATTCGCATATACAAAAAATATAGTGGAGACAAACTTTTCAACAAAACATTTTTATTTGTTGATCTGAACGCTTTCTCGTTCATTTGTGCAGTTTGTAGGTGAAAAACCGCGACTGGTCGAGAAGTAGAGCGAGAGTTGGAACCAGAATCGAGTATGATCTAACTCTGATAACAGTTCTTGCAATCCGGTCAAGTCTAAACAATTTTCTGAAATATCGAAATTCGTCTGGTAATTTTAAACAATTTCTTACTTTAAATTATTATTAGATATGGGAAAAAGAGGGAAAATTCGGACGGTTGTAGAGTTGGTTAGAAATGGAGAGTTGGTGTCCGAGAGGATCGAAGTCACGATAGCTCAAGTGGTAGAGCAGCTGCGTGTTTAGCCAAAGATCGTGGGTTCGAATCCCGCTCGTGACACTAACTTTTTCATTTCAAAAACCTTATGTAAAAATAATAATAATTGAAAGAAGTCACTTGGTCAATTGACTACTGAAACGTAAATGATATTAATAAAGTTTGCACACGTTTAAACTTTAAATTATGTTCATTTAATTTATAGTCACGATAGCTCGAGTAGTAGAGCAGCGGCGTATTTAGCCGAAGGTCGTGGGTTCGAATCTCGAATAGCTTTTTCATTTCACCCAAGACCTTACATAAAAAGAATAATTAATTGAAAGAAGTAACTTGGTCAGTTGACCACTAAAATGTAAATGGATTAATTATTAGATATATTAAAAGACCGTTTAACAAATTGATGAAGGATCTCTTTCCCTTGATTCATCCGATAATATAAAGGATCAGTCAAAATCACCAAGGTTTCACGTAAAGCATCAAATAACTGGTGACTTTATTTTTAAGACTCGATCCGAAAATTGCCAAGCAAATAAAAATTGGTTCAACGTTCTTCCAATAATTCTGAATATTTACCTTTCTGTGGAAACGAAATATCGACAAAATAAATTGTGCAATTTTTTTTAACTGTAGGTTCAAGGATAGTTAGGTTCAATTCCACTTTCTTGCAGTTATAAATATAAATACGTATGTTTATAAATTGATATTATTACAAACGCAAGTACGTTTGAGGTTTCTCTTAGAATAGACGGCAGGAATGGCCGTCTAAGTGAAAGGAATGCGAAGCAATGCACATGACGTGGGCATACCTGATCGTTTCCTTGGCTCAAATTGGCATCGAAGGGCATTCTACACGTTTACAAGTCGTTACAATTAAGAAAACTCGGATTTTGGATGACATCGCATAAACAGTGCCGACGGGGGAGGGGTTCGAGCTGTGAAGAATTGTCAAACCGCAAGATTATTCGACCATTGACCTTTCTGAATTACATAATCTTGCGCTGAGGATTTTCATTTTGTAGGGTGAATCCCCTTTCATATGCTTTGTCGATACCTAAAAGACCTGGGTACAACAATGTACAAGGAAGTAATTTTAAGATATTTTTGGCAAAGACCTTCAATTTGGGGTGTGAACTTTCAAATATTTAAGTAATGGATTATCTATTTGTTTCGGCCTTCGTGAAACATTTTTTAAAAATTAATCCTATTATGTATGGTTTTGGTTCGAAGCGGGATTCGAACCCACGACCTTCGATTGGGTTCGAATCCCGTTCGTGACACTAACTTTTCATTTCAACCAAAACCTTACATAAAAAGATTAATTAATTGAAAGAAATAATTTGGCCAATAGACCACTAAATATAATGATTATTTAAAAAACAAAAAGACAAACAATCAAGCAATGAAACGCATTCCATTCATGAATTAAAGTACACAAGACAAGAAATTTAGTAAATATAGAAAGCTTTAATAAGTTAAAGACTGCTTTATTTGGCAGAAAACAATATTATATATTCATACAATGAACTATTATTGATTTTATTAGTTCTAGAAAAAAAAACAAGATGACTTGCTCATAAAGGAATATTAACGACCGTTAAAAGAAGACCTTCTCAGGTGAAATCATGAATAAATACTGTAAGGCAACCCCGTTATGAAAATTGCAGTTAAAAACAATCCAATTTTGGCTCAATAGATTTCATGGTCGAATGGTTCAAATACAGGAGGTGGTGGATCAGAAGGATTAAGTACAATTGAATTGTCTATTATTTGTCATACTACCGTCTATTTCTGCTGTTTTCAACTTTTGGGAGGCTGTCTTTGCTGTTCCTTTCTGATTTTATTCGTGCCAGCATATGGGAAAGTGGCACTGCTTTGGCCTGTTTCGTATTAGAACAATATTGCCTCCCCTGGGGCCATTCCGTGAACGGAAACAAAACTATTTCGAATCGTCAATACTATATTCAAATATGTGTACAAACGTTTAAGCCTTGACGTTTAACAAAATGTTTATAACTTACTCAAGGTAAAGTACAAACATTTTGTTTGTTAATCTTAGGGGGCGAAATGTAACGGACATCCGGGACCGGATGTCTTGTAAGATATACTCAAATAAGATCTCATGTTTTCACAGTACAATTTCCAAACTTTGTGCGTATTTTAGAAATGTGAAGCTTTATAAAGCTATAACGGAAGTTTTGCTTATAAATTTTAAAAGCCGAAACTCTGGACTGTCACTTTTTGTTGAATGGTTACTATTTGTCTTCAAAACACATTGTTTATTCAGATAGATTTACCGTTAAGTTCATCGTTTTATATATTGTGTTAATACTGTTTAATATTAATTTATAAACCAATGTCTAATAATGTATATAACTAGTTCTGATACAGGTGTTTATCGATCCATCCTTCTATTGTCTTCATCCTTCATATGTAAAAATTTTATAAGTATAAGTTGGATTTTGTGGTGTCTGTTCAGAAAATGCATCTTTATATGTCGAAATAAACACCTAAACCAGTTTCCACATCGGACTTAAAGGTAGAGGAAGGTCTTGACTATGACTTACGTCAGGATTGCTGGATACGGGCGTGATGTCCTTATCCTGCGGAGGGTTGCCCTTTGAGGGCGAAAGCCTAGCCGGAAAGCTGAGGGTCTTTGTCCACTGTGCGAAGCTCCGAACCATGTTGACGAGTAGTTCACTGACAGGGTGACGAACATCGACTGGAGTAGACTCTGGAGGGCCTGCGGCTGGCAACACGCCTACCCGATCCCCTTCTTCGGCCGTCCTTGTCCTGGAGGGGGAAGGTCATTCCGAGACACCCACAAACCCTTTTTTCTCCTTCGACATCCTCTTGCTTCTGGAAAAACACGTGTAAGGCGATGTTGCCTTTTTTTCCTGTCTCTGTTTTGGAGAGTTGATGATACCGCAAGGATGGGACAAATGGGCTAAATCCGTTCCAAAAGGCCATCCCACTTCCCCCAATGTCTTTTCACCTAATAAGCGATAAATATCAACTGTAAATGCTTATGAAATAAAACGTGGGGTTAAATTTGGTCTGATAGCAAAGTGGCCGCGCTTGATTAATGGTTTTGCAATTTAGATCAATCATCAAGACAATAGGCCCTCTATTATTCATAGATAACATGTAGAAAAAAATTAAAACCTCTTAAAACATTTCATTTTTTAATTCATAAATAAACGTGTAATAACATTTCTATTCAACACTGTCAGGCAAATCCTTTCACAAAAATAACAGTAATAATTATAAAATAACAGTTATAATCCAAATACAACCCACACAAGGAAGGATAAAATAATTGGCTCAATAAGAAGTTTTTGTTTGTTTAATCTCTCCTGAAACATGTGGTTTAAATTTAATGGTTAATTAATTAATCTTTTTATGTAAGGTCTTGGTTGAAATGAAAAAGTTAGTGTCACGAGCGGGATTCGAACCCACGATCTTTGGCTAAATACGCCGCTGCTCTACCACTTGAGCTATCATGACTTCGATCCTCTCGGACTCCAACTGTTCATCTCAACCTACAACCATTCGAATTTTCCCTCTTTTTGCCATAACTAATAATAATTTAAAGTAAGAAACTGTTTAAACACATTTAAACATTTTGCCCTATCGACACGATAGCTCAAATGCTTAGAGCAGCGGCGTATGATTCGAGGTCGTGGGTTCGAATCTCGCTCGTGATACTAACTTTTTCATTTCAACCAAGACCTTACATAAAAAGATTAATTAATTGAAAGAAGTAATTTATTCAATAGACCACTAAATATAATGGGTTTAATGGTTAATTTTTAATTTTATACACATTACCAGTTTTTAAAGACAGCCTTCGGGAAGTTTAATTATTTCATAAAATATTGATTGGCCTCAAATGGACAACATAGAAATCATCGATGCTGATCTTGAAAAACTCATTAATAATGTACAAAGAACTGCATGGGACAATGAACCTCATAAAATAATGGCCAAACTTACGAGAAATTGTGAATATTGTATAGGAAAAGATAAGTAAGGAAAAGAGAACTCATGTCTCTACGGACAAAACAAGATTTAGTAAGCTCACTCGTCCTTGAATATAAAAATCAGACATGTAAAAAAAGAATCATTTTTATCTTTTACCTTAATGAGCTAACAGATGATCACATGTCTGACCAGTCACTGTGTAAGACTGCGAAATCCATAAATAGACGTATAATTCCAGCATCACTTCTTATTTCTTAAAGTATGTATTCATAATCAGTGAACTAATGTTAAGTTACCAAAGTTTTGAAATCTACATCCATAATGAACCCGAATCTGACGAGCAACTACAAGAAAAAATTTCATATCATGATCCCTACATTAAGATCCATGCGGTGACAATCAAAGAAGTCCAAAACAAACAAAACTGAAATCAACGAAAAAAAGCCCCTGGATTAATTACTGATCTGATTTTTAAGGAGTTAAGAAAAGTTGTACCAGCGATGATCAGAATCATAAATTCAGCCTTCAGAATTAAATATGAGCTACAAACATAGAAGATCGATGAGGTGATTATGATTATTTTTAAACAAGATAAACCGGAGCTCGGATCATACATGGCGATTTCTCTATTGCCGGTGTTTTGTAAATTATTTGAAAATCGTCTTGAGCGAAAAATAACATCCGACAATCGGTTTGGTATATTTACCTACAAGTGGCGAAAGCAGACGACAGTGTCTGGCATATATGGGCTAAAATATAAAATAACAAATTTCTTTCCAGACAATCCAAACTTCAACCAAATCCTATTTGCTGACAGGGACCTATTCGGATATCAATCAAGCAGGAATGCCACAAGGCAATGTTTTACGGCCTGTTCTATTCCTGCCTTCTCAAGCGATCTGGCAAAAAACGAGGAAAATTCCAAGGCAACATTCGGTAATGAAACGACAATTATGGCGGTTGGAGAAAACTACGCCGGTGTAAACAAAAGGAAAACCGTAGAGGAAATTATAAAGCCCCATTTGCCCATCATCGAAGGCTCAGAGACAAAGAGAAAGAGTCGACCTTTTAGACGTCGAAAACTTATCTAGATGATACAAACCCGAAAGAAGTTAGTAAAGCAATGCCGATATAAAAATATACATAAAGGTAAATTATGCCCGACGAGACAAATATGACAGGTTTTCTAATATCTCTTGTTGTACAGAAAGTTTCTTAAAAATATTAAGGAAATCCTATTTTGAACATGATCAGTAATGATTAATTTTATAAATATTTGTCTTCATTGGATTAAAAATTTTCTAAAATTCTACTATTTTATATTCACATATGTATGTACTTCTACAGTTTATACAATAGATTTTAGGTCCCATAATATTTTTTAAAAAATATGGGGATATAAAAGTCATGTTTCACTGTTCATGATTTGGGCTCTGAAAGTAATGCGAGTACCATAAATTATTGTTTAGAACATACCATTTTATGAGGAATTACATGAATAAATTATCATGGCACATCTACCAAGGAAAAAATTGTTACCGTCTCGGATTTGATACGTAGGATTATGATATAGGACGATTTTAGTAAATTCTTTTAGAACGTGATCAAAATTAAATTTATTGCATGTTATCCTTTTTTATTAGCTTTCAGATAATTTGTTTTGTCATTCTCCTAAAATGTTCTCTGCTAGTGGCCCAGTTTAATGTTTATATGAGCAAGTTAGTGCGGAATTCGAACCCATGATCTTCGGCTAAATACGCCGCTGCTCTACGACTTGAACTATCGTGACTTCGATCCCGCTCGTGGCACTAGCTTTTCCATTTCAATCAAAACCTTACAAAAAAAGATTAATTAATCGAAAGAAGAAATTTGGTCAATAGACCACTTAATATAATGGATTTATATGAGCTTTCGTCGATTTGCAAGCTAAGGTAGCCAGAAAGTACCTTGTACCATAAATACAACGATTGAAGTATCATGAAAAGTACAACGTGTGAAGAAATTTTTGCCGTCCCAATTTGAGTTTGAGTCTCGCTATGGCAGAAGTCTGTACAGTTTTAAGTTTTCTGTCAAATTTGTGAAAGTGACCGTTTTACGGCAACAGTTCGAAGTCCGTCCTTTGAAATGGTTTATTGTGGTTCATTAGGCTTTCCCCCTTGCTGCCGAATTGTACTGTTATGCTTGGGCTTTTCGCCCCCTCTCACCGCTTTTCTAAGAAACGGATCGTTATCTTATGCCCTGAAAGGAGATCACAAATAAAAATGCGCCCTTTTAAATTTCTTCCGCTTTATTATTGGCACCCGATTACTGAGACATGATTTCTCTTGAGTAAACCCTATTACTTGCATACCATGCCTCAAATATTTACTACTTTCGAATGGGTATATCTTAGATTTGGCAGTCGGCCTTTGCGTGTCTTTCAAGGTCTACTTGAACGGTTTCAGGTTGAGAAAAATGATAAAGTAACAGAAAATAGTAAAGTTACAGAAGAAAAATAAAAATAATAAAGTTACTGACGTGTGTAGTCACAATTACGCAAAGCACCGCAAGGCCCAATTAGAACCGTTAAATTCACCGTTTCAATTTTACTAACCGCAAAACGTAAAATGTTAAACAATCCAACAAACTTGTCAAAACAGTTGTTGGTTTTTTAACTTCCATTCCAATACTGAAAACTTTTAAGCGTCCCTTACACGATCAATATTATTGACAATGATTATTCGGAGATCGTGAGATGCGGTCTGGTTTGACGTAGGTTTAAAAAAACTTTTTCTTTATCGTGCCAACGTTTCGATCTTTATTGAGATCATCTTCAGGGCTCAAAGTGTTTGTTTTCCGTGTAGATTCATTCTTGTCCGTCGTGTTGAGAGTGCCCCCATGGCATTGACATCTACACGGAAAACAAACACTTTGAGCCCTGAAGATGATCAACTAAAGATCGAAACGTTGGCACGATAAAGAAAATGTTTTTCTAAAACCTACGTCACACCAGACCGCATCTCACGATCTCCAAATAATCAGTGACTAACGATGAATAAACATCACACATTATTGACAATATCAGTATTGTCAATACAGTCGTATACTCCTTGACGGTACCACCGTTAATTTCGTCAAAACCTACACGGTGTAATTGGCAATAATTGTATCAATAAATGTGCTAAGTACGTTTGTTTCCACCATTCGGACAAGTGAAATGGTGACTTTCCAAGTGAATTTTCGTGGCGTCCTGTGCTTTGAAAACATGGACAAACGAAAAAATTGTTGTATAGCCATAATATGGCTATCGGAAGTATTCGTCGAGTTCAGCGAAATCGATGCATGAAAGAGTGGTTGAAAAAACATAAAGAACATTCTCACATGAGGCTGCTGAGGGAAATCAGATGGTGGAATCACTCTTGGGGGAAGGTAGAACACAAACAGAAGGAATGCATCCCTTTTAATGGGAGATTAGCCTTAACCCTGATGTACTTAGCTAAAGGAAGAAATTTTGAAGATTTGAAGTTCTCTGTCATCATGTCGCCGGCAACTATCAGCGAAGCTATAATTGAAACTCAAATTGCTCAATAAAGGTCCGTAGGGCTTCGTCTTCCGGGCGTTCAGTCCCGTCGTATACATTATTTCTTCCAGCTCGTTTACCGTTTCAAAGTCTTCAGACATTTTGTCAAGGACAATTGTATAATCCATAAAACACACAAAGATCACTTCCTTTCCTACAAAAGCGCGGCAACGACTAAGTATTGACAATATATATTGAATATGCCCCTAGACGCTTAATAATATTGACAATATCCTCTCCACTTATAAATATTGACGCCCCGAGATCAGAAAATCTGAATTTCATCAATATCGCTTCAATATCGACCGTCAATACTCTTGTTTTTCATTTTACATAATAAATATTATTGTCAATATTATTGATCGTGTAAGGGC